GRAWTTGAATTTTGAGGCTTTGAAATTGCCCTTGGCATGAAGAAGTCCTGTATATGCTTCATAGGAGAAAATAGYTGATCTTACTAGAGACTTGTCTGAGTTCTACAACCCACACATCTGCTTTCGTACAATATTTAGAGACGTGAAAAATAATAACACACTTCCTGTGGAAAGTGTTTGCCACCTCCAACATGGGAAGCCTGTGCACCAAAACTGCATATTCAGATGAGGCAACAGTACTTTGTGAAGAACTACCTATTAATAAGCATCATCCAGCACTTTCAACTGGAACATGCTTGTGAAATTCCAGTGATTTCTTAAAGGTGGTGACTTAACACCATTGAACTGACATAGCTTTTGTCTCCAAAGCTGGGTCCTGAGGCTGTTGTCCCATGGTTTGCTTTAGGGGAGCTCTATCATCTCTTTGTGCTTTGTCTTCTTGGCTGGCACTGGGTTCTGGGCTGGGCCCGTGGTCTGAATTGCTCTCTTGGGAGTTTGACACAGCCCTATGGAGTGGAAGTACAAAAGGAAGATGACAGTTGTGGAAAGCAGACTGTTTTTATCTYGTCTGCCATCAGTGCTGGGCCATGYGTAGCTTTGTACAGACCACTTCATTGTGTTGCTCTTTTATCCCCTTCTCTTCTTTATTTTCATATGCTTGTGATGTACTCCACYGCTGGAGGGGATTGACTTTCAGCCTTTGGCTCTGTTGATGTTTCAGTGTATTGGTATCTGGTGGAATTGTCCAAATGTGCTTTGGAAGTCTCTCTCAATTTGKTTTTTTTTTCCAGAGCACAGAAGCTGATCCCCATAAATAATGCAGCTGATATCAGGAAGAARCTGGAGTTGTAGAAGACGTAGTGGAAATCACCGGTTATGTCCACCAGGAGACCTGAAATAGAAGCCATAGCTTAGCCAAAGAGAAGAGACACACTAAAGGCATAACTTTATGTKAATGTTAAACCTGAATCATTCAGCAAACTGCCATATACAAAAGACAAGCATTCTCTGATGAGTTAAGTTCTCTAGATTCTTGATTTTTTATTTGTAGTCACCAGTCAGGTGATACTTCTGCTTCTGTAGACAGTATTTCTCAATACACAAAGAAATCAGGAAAGAAAGGAAAYGGTAATTTTCCCCAACCTGCTGCTTCATTTTGTTTGCTCAGCAGAGGACCCCTGTGCCACTCACTGGCTTTTGGAATGGGTGGCCCTGTTATATMCTAGGGCAGAAAATAGAACAACTAAATAGAGAAATAGCTCAGAAATTTACATACAAGGTTTCTAAACTGAACATTTGTCTCTAATCCTGTGTAATGAGGGATAAGGAAATTCACTGCACAGCACGATTATGACTCACATTAAGTGACCTCAATATAAACCATTTAGAAGCATGAGATATCAAGGGAGTAATTTAGYACTAATATTAGAGATAGAAAAGTGATACTTGGGCCAAATACATGATGCTTTCCAYAGACTGCTTATCTACATGGAAATACTGGAATAATGTTTATTTGCTTGTATTTTTCAGTARAGATTGGTGATGTTTCTTTCCACAGTGCACTTATTAGTAGCATGTTAGATTTTAGGACTACAAACAGAAATAAAGCTGCTTTTACTGTGCTTTGTTTTGCCCATCTGCTGCTCCTGTCAGAGATATCCAAGAAAGGACCTTTTTTGCTCTTTGAGAAAAATGACTGACACAGTCATGGTACTCCCAGTGCAAGGGAGTACCATGAAATATGGTGCATGCTACCATCACATTATTGGACCAGACATAATTTTCCTGCTGAGTAGCCACAGTTCATTGTCTGGAGAAGAGAACTAAAGCTTGAACTGAGGTTGACGTGCTCAGGTTGACATTTGTTGTTTGTTAGTCTTTTGAATTTGCTTCTATACTGTAGGAGCAGGTGTGTCTTGAACAGGTCACTTAGTGGCATTTGGAGTGAACTGTGAATAATTTATTGAATTGAGGTTCATAACTAGCTCCTTTCTTGTCTCCAGAGAAAAATTAATATGCTCCAGAACATGGAAAGAAGATTGAACAGAAGCTTTTACTATGAAGCTTTTGAATAATGTAGGACTGGTAATAATTCTGAACACAGTGGATTTGTTTAATGGRATCTTCACAACTCCTTGAGACTCCATGGCTAAAACAATGCAAACTGGCAAAATATTGAAAGAGTTCATAGTARTTCCTGTCTGCTTCTTGCCGTTGACTGGAAAAAAGCTGTCATTGCTCCCGTTCCTATCAGATCACTTACCAAGTGAGTCATTTTTTCACTGTCTGCTCTTGATGCAGCTGCTGAAATTACCTTCCAGCTGCCAGAACGGGCTGTGATCATTCCTTTTGGACTCTCCCTTTTATATTGCTCCCTTTGAACTCATCTATGCCCCAGGTTTGGAAACTCCCTTATTCTTCTTCTTTATGCTCCCAAACACTTGTCACAGGTTTCCAAACCACCACCTTTCCCCCCAGTCAGCTTTCATAGCCTCTCTCACCTGTGAGSGGGGGCCCGATGAGGAGGGTGATGCTCTCCAGGATGGTGAAGAGCCCTAGGGCACTGGAGAACCTGTCCATCTCCACCACATCCATCAGCACCTGGAATGTGAGTGCCCCGACGCCACTCATGGCTATGCTGAGGATGACGCAGTAGAGGATGAGCACACTGAACTCAGCTGAAATGACACAGATGAARTTGCTGAGCCCGCAGAGGAGCACGGCCAGGCTGAACAGGTAGATGCGTCTCCCTGTGAACACTCTGTGTCCCGAGAGCAGCCCTGTGAAAGGGCGGATGAAGATGTTGATGAACCCGATGATGGAAATGAGGAGAGCTGCCTTGCGTTCCTCCACCCCATTGTGGGTGGCATAAGGCACAAGGTAGACATGGGGTAAGGCGAACCCCATCATCATCCAGGTCACTCCAATAGTGTAAATCTGGTAACCTTTGTTTTGACAGAAGATGTCAAAAGCCAGGTATTTCTGCAGCACCTGGAAGCATTTGGTCCTTCTGGTGTGSTGCTGGAGTACATGGTGGTGAGGAGATGCTCCATTGGACAGCTGCGCCTCTTCTGCCCTGCTCCCTGGCTCCTCTCCAGGCTTGGCAGACTGTGGAAGTGACCCTGATGCYGGCTGAATGGGTCTCATGATGGCTCCACAAACACAGCAGTTCAGTAGTATTCCTCCAAAAATGAGGAAGGTGTTTCTCCAGCCCATCTCATCCAGCAAGTATTGAGACAGCAGTGGCCACAGTGTGAAACCAAGGGAGACACCGGTGGAGGCGATGGCATTGGCCAGTGTTCGCCACCGTACAAAGTAGTAGCCCAGCACAGTTACTCCTGCCTGGAAGCTGAAACAGGATCCCAGACCTAAAGGTGAGAATAAAAGAGTAAATGACAGCMCGTGATCCCTCTGGGTTGTCCTAAAGAGTGAAAAGAGGCCAAATTCAGGGTGTACCCACAGGTGACTTCATCTGCCACTGAAGCATTTTTTGACCTGCCAGGCCACGCAACTGCCAAGGATTGATTAATACTCAGAAACCCCCAGGTTTCTGCCAAACACCAGGGATGAAGGACACTGTGTGTAAATTGAACTATTTGTATTCTTGGGTGTAGTAAATATATTGATCTAAACTGACATTTGTCTGGGACACACTGCAATTCCCAAAGTTGTTATGGAATTGTTCATTAAAAACTTGGGATTTACACCACATGCAACAACCAGTGATGCTTTCCTGACACTTTCATCAGGGCTCAGGGAGTTGCTTGTTTTTCTCTCTACGCAGTGGCCACTGCTTAGCTTGCAAGATCAGCAGAATTTGTCTCAGAGTAAGGAATTAATTTCTCTGTGTTATTGAAAACCAAGAGTTGAAGATTAGTCACATAGGAGAAAATATTTGGAAAGGAAAAGTTCCCATCTGTTACTTCTGTTCAAAACCAACATGGTTTTTTGTTAGAAAAAGATGTCTCCATTCTCCCCCAGATTAGGAGTGGTGAAATACAAGCCCARGGAACCTGGGAAGGATATTATCCCAATACATTTTGTTCCAAGATTGGAAAAACAACAAAAAGCCTCCCTTCTTGAATGACAAAAGCCTGAGAAGCTACTAAAAAGAACAGACATCCTTTTTCTCCATTTTGCCCTCTGGAAACCTGTAGTTTTTTTCCAGAGAGAAGCATTTCCCAGCGAGCTTGAGTGTGTGAGGTGTGTGCTAAAGGSGTGTGAAGGCCAAGTCTAGTGGCTAAAGGATTCCTGCTGTGCTGGGAGGCTGTCGAGTTCTCCTATTTCACATATGAGTGGAAAAATGTGACCACTTAGTCGGGGCTCTCCCATTTCCCATTCCCAGCGCAGCAGCTGAGTTTCCCTGCTCTCTGATACGTACCGGTGATGAGCCCGGCTGTGAGGTACAGCTGGCTGATGGAYCTGCAGAAGGAACTGGACACCATTCCCAACCCGCTGAGCAGCCCGCCCAGCATCACCACAAACCTGCAGCCAAACCGCTTCACCAGGATGCTGCAGAGGGGCCCTGGAAGCAGAGAAGAAAAAATGAGGCAGTTAGGGAGGAAGGAAGTGTTTTGTACCTGCTGAATTGCTGCAATTATCAAATGATTTTGTCTAGAAACCCCCAGGATTGTCCCAGCAGCTTAATGTGGTGGGGGAGCCCAGAAGAGAAAATATATTCYATGATCCTCCATAGCACTTGGCCAGCTTGTTAGCTCAGGGGAAGTCTGTGATCTGATGGGATTTTGGTCATCAAGTAGGATGTGATGGATTTTCATTAAAACCCTTGGAAATGGATTCTAAGTAAATTCTGTGACATTGTRATAAATTAGCATTCTGTTAATGACATTTAACATACTTTATTTTGGGGCAGGAAAAGATTAGTTCACACCTGCAGACCACCAGTGGGAAGGTGCTTCTCTCTGCACACCCTGGCAGAAGAGGATCTGAAGGTTGAGTTTCTTTTTCCGTTCCTTTGAGGATCCTCAGCATTTTCCAGGTTTCACTAACTTTTTTTACCAATTCTGAATATTTAAGGTTATGTAAGCAAATGCAAAATTACTAAGCTGCAGAACTAAGAGTCAGTCAGTGTAGAGACTATAACCTGTGGCATACTTGTGACCTAAATCAATGTCTAGTTTGAAATAAAATCCACACAGTCAAGTGAACAGTGGAACATTATTAAAATTAGGAGTGCAGCTGTCTGTATTTTGATCTGCTTGGGAGATTCTCTCCTCAGACTTCACTGGCCTTTGAAAAATTGTCCAGCGAATGTGACTGGATTCTTTTTCCTCCTGCCGTAGACATCAAGGATGGTACTGCTGTTTAACTAGCCCAAGAAGGCATAAATTGAACATGACAAAATAATGAGATTGGCTCTAAAAYCCATAAGAGTTTTTCATTATTATTTCCTGTTAACTCGTTGCCTGGGTTTCAAATGTTATTTCTCACTTGCCTGGGGCTTTTGTGCTTTCTTTTGCAAGAATAATATCAACAAAATGCTGCATTTGTATGAGTTAGTCCAGAGAGTTCCATGTGCATGRATATCTAGGAGCAGCAACCTGTAAAGGCCCGAAATCCCCTTTTGGAGGCAGATGGAGGACCCTGAGGCTCTCAAATGATAACAAAATAATCGTTAATGGCTTTTACCTAGGAACGTAGCACTGATAATGGGATATRTTTGTCTGAGTTGTGAGCTATTGTTTGCCCTGTGCCCTTCCCTGTTTCCTTCCACAGCTCTCCTGCATAGAACCTTCTCCCAGTACTGACTGCTCCAAGAATAGGCTGCTCTGCCTATTTCCCTTCCTCTTTATCAAATTTGCAACAAATATTTTTTTCCCCTTCAGTTCTTCTGAATTAAAAAGAATAAAGGTGTAGTAAAGATAGAACAACTTCCAAGAGGTACTGGTGACAGCAGCATGCAATTTTGGGAAGGGTTTAAGGGCTGAGATGATGGATGTAACCAGAGAACCTGAATCAAATGGAGCCTGGCCCCYTGCAAAGGAGGTCAGAAGTTGCAGCAAAAGCCATATATGCTTGGCCTGAGAGGGAGGSTTTGATCTCTGTTTATTTCGTTGTTTTTTTCTTTCTGGTTTATGTTACTCCTGCCTTGTGCTACTGGGGGACAAGAACAAGCCCCCCTGTGCTGTAACACCCTGCAAGAGGAGACACAACTGGCAAGCAAAGTACAAGTCTCTGGCTGTGCCCTGACAAATTCTATTGTGACTATCATCAACACAAGGCTATTCTTTCCTTATTTAATTTGTAACTTTTGGATCTATTTATTGATTGTCCTTATACTACTACTACCTTTTACTGTGGTTCCAGCCTCCTACACAACAATTACTTCCTTAAAGATGACAAGGATAATTGACATTCTTGTGGATACTGCCASAGTTGTCCTTCCTGGACATGCTGGGACCAAGCTGCTTCTGAAACCATTTCCCATAGCCAGCAGGTCCCAGTTGGACCCTTCCCACTAATCACAGAAGGATCACAGAGGCTGGAAGGCAGCACRGGGAATGCCCAACAGCTTCCAAATTCCAAGCCTCAGGACACTGCTCTATTTCTGCTGACTCTCAGTGGTGATTCCTCCCTTTGTCACTTCCCTTGGCATCTCTTTCCATCTGCACCTTGATATTGTGGACCCAGCTGTTTCTGATAAGGTGCAAACTCTCAATTCCATGGAGGCAGCTGCCAGTCATACCCTGCACAGGACAGTCTGAACCTGTCACAACCTTCACATCAGTGTGACTCAAGGCTCTGGGCCTGGATATTTTCCCTTTATAATGTAGTGTCAACTTTCACCAGCATTAGAAGGGAGCAGGTATGAACCCTGGGAGAAGCTCAGTGCATGGGCAACACCAGGAACTTTGCTCCCGTTGCCTGGTTGGGTTTGGGTTGTTTATCAAATAAATACAGGATTTRCATGTGGAGGGGTCACAAAACACAGACCACTCATTGGGAAGTCTTCTAGCACCAGGGGATTTAGTTTTCTGTCTGCAAGAAYAGAAAAGGATCCCTGCATTTGAGTGTGGAATCTGGAAGCACTRTCCTGTGCTGCTCCAACACTCTCTTTCGAGGGGGAAAACCAGTGATTCACTCCACTGTTCACGAGCACAACACTCCTTCCACCCCTGCAGCCGGAGGGTGCTGCCTGACCCACATTCTGCACTGATCCAGCCCTGCTCACGTCCACCCTGATGCCTGCATGGGTGTGAGCTCTGTGCCACCACCCAAGGAGCTGCTTTTAAGGCTTTGCCTCAGCTGGCAGCTTGGAGGAGCTCAGCTTTTGGCRTCTCTTCAGTCACAGAGAATAGAGCTGTCATGTGGCACTTGGAAGGAGATATGCTCTCRTGGACATAAGATGAACCAAGAAAGCACCCAAACTCTAGCACTGCATGCTGACTTATTCGAAGAGCTTCTGTGGGAAATAACTACATTATTTCTGATCAGGAAAAGCTGGAATGAGAAAGGGATTTACCTTCTTTGACCAAGAGTCTTGGCTGGCTCTGAGAGTGACAAAAAGGAGCAGGATATCTGTGGATATTTAGCTTTGGGCTGTGGGATCCAAGTGGCTTGGAGATGTTTGGCCAYGTACTGCCAAACAGCCACTCTGCTTGGACCTCCAAGTCCCTTCCACCACCCACCTTAATGAAATACTAAAAGTGTCCTRATTACAACCCCCAACCAGCAGCGCAAGGGCAGGAGGTGGAGGAGGCCATTTCCTGYCATCACTCACCCCCTCCATGCAGCACGGCCACCATGATGGACGGGAACCACGATGTCTGGCTGTTGCTGGCCTGGAACTCATGCTGGAGGTCCGTGAAGAAGACACCGATGCAGCAGGGGAAGCCCAGHGTCAGCCCCTGCAGCACCACTGCAGCCAGCAGGACCATCCATGCCCATCCCTGGTCCTGGGGCTTGGCAGCGCCACGTCCTGCTGCTCCTCCTTGGGACATGATGGCTTCTTTCTTCGCTAAGCCAGCCTGCCAGGAAAGGGAGTGCAGCCACCATGCAACCCTCAGCCCAGCGAACAGGCCTTCAGGGAACAGCTGATGATATTCCTGAGGCTCAGAGCACCGGTGCGTCCCACACCTTTCCCAGCTGACACTCCAGACTTCTTGCTCTGCATTTCTTCCAGCACCTCCCTTCCTTCTCGCTACAGGATCCTGGCACCAGATTCTTAAGAAACCACTGCCTTCTCCTTTTATATTTCACAAGACCGTGACCACAGCCAGGCAGAGGACAGGACCACACCTCCTCTGAGGTATGAATTGGTTTTACCTAGTTCCGCCCTTATTTTCCCTTTCACCCGCTTTCATCATATGGAGTCCCCTTGCTGGCAATTGCTAAGGTCACTCAGTCCCTGTGCCGAGAAGAGGAAGAAAACCTGCAAATGCCAAGTAAAATAGAAATCTATAAAGGTTGTATGTCACATCAGAGCTCAGTGTGAATTTCTCAGGAAAACTACACCCACCTGCAAAGTGCTGGTGGTGAAAAAACATTTTAAAAGCCATTCCTTAATTAGAATCCAGYGATGGCAGATAGGCTTTTGCTTTACCTCTCTAGATCTAGAACTGCTTCTGAGAGACCCCACTTTGGGTTTCTCTGAGACTGGCAGCATGAAACATATAGCAATAGCATTCCCCATCCTCTCCACATGAATAAACATGCAAAAAATAATAATCTCTGGCAGCTGGATGAGCTCAGAAAAAGTGCCCATAGGGTCAATGCRCAGCCAATATTTACTTAGCACTCAAATAGTGGTTTTTTTTCCTAAAAAAAACAGCTGCATTTAGATTTTGCGTGCAGCTTTAGAGATGAATTATAGTTTGATTTTGCGTATTATTTCAAATATGCCATGGTGGCAGAAAGTTAGTTTCGTACCTCAGTCTGAGACCAGAATTGGCCAAACGAAGGGCAGCGCCACGTGGCTGCAGCTCATCCCCTGTGTGCGCAGCCCGGTCAGCTCATGGCCCACGGTCAGACCCTTCTRCTTCAGTAGCAACCACAGGCTTTGATGAAGTCTTTTGCAATATTAACCTAGGCATCATTTCTGTAAACAGGGCTCTTATGCTGGCTGGCTCACAGCCAGAAAACGAAAAAAAAAAAAGGCTGGGAGCAGAGGGGGCCCGTGGGAAGGGGCTCTGAGATGCAAATCACGGTGGTGGTGCTCAGCACACTTTAATCCTTTGTCCACTTTAGCTGGGCGCAGATAATGCAACTAATTCAAGTGCTTGTCTCTCTGGTGTGAATTAGCTGGATGGCAGCCTAAACCTCTCCCCGGCAACAGCAAACCTGCAAAAAAAGGCAGAAGCACGGCTCCTCTCTGTTCCCAGCTGCCCTGTCCAACTCTTGAGTTTGTCCAGCAGATTTCTGGCTCCCCTCAAATCTCCCTGGGCGCCTGCTCATGGGGAAGGATTCTTCAGTGGGGCTGCAGACCCCATGGCTTTCATCCACCTTCTGCCCCTGGCTGCAGGACACCTTTTCTCCCGGGCAGCCCGACCTGCACAATCACTGCAAAGACCCTGGGGATGTGCTGCCAGGCTCCACACGACCTCCTCGCTGCCTCCTCGCTGCCTCCTGCTTGCACAAAGGTAAAGGAACAAGTTTGTTCCARCGCTGGCTTAGCCGGCTGTGCCACACCGAACAGCAGCAGCGCTGCAAACCCTCGGATTAACCCTTCCAAGGTATCCAGATAGGATGGACGGTGTGAAAGTGGAGGGCTGGTGTGTGTTGTCCTACAGTCTCGATGCTCTCAGGAAACCTGCTGCTGGTGTTGAGCAGTGAACGTGACAGACYAGGGACACCTGCGAAACACGGGCAGATTTTCACACACACGTGATCATCCCGTATTAGTAGGGTTGGGAATAGGATTGGAGTTCACAGAAATAGCCACACCTGGGTGCCTCCTGCAAACAGTGTGCTTTTGTTGGGAACAGGTGAATAGTGCAAAGGTGTTTCTCTCCACCAGCCTGTGGAGCACCTGGGGACACACAGGTGCCTTGGATGGAACACAGGGGAAAACTGCCTGTTCAGTCTTTCTCTCTGGCYACTCCCTGCCTGTCACTGTCTGTCCTGTTGAGCTATTCCTGTCCTGTTCACATCTGAACATTGTTTCTTCTTCCTCCAGTGATCCCTAAAACGCTAACATTCAAACTTTGGATTTTCCCAAGTATTGTGAAGCAGCCCTGGTAACTTGTTTGTGGGAGCAGACCAGGAGTGCTCACACAGTGACTCTCCCTTCTTCTTCTGTGCCTCAGTTTCCCTCCACTCCCATGGGGCACAAGCAGCTGCTGGCATGAGGGCTCCTGGCTGCAAGGAGCAGCCCTTTTTACTAAAGAGACACAAGGTCCTGGGGCATTTATGKAGCTCACCTCAAAAGAAGAGGTTTATCTTTTCCAAATTCAGGTTTATGWTATGCAAATAATGAAGGTATTTGTATATAGTTTTCAGTAGGAGCTTACAGCAAGTGGCACTTGTGTGGGGAGATGAACAAACAGCTTCTCCCTGCAGCCACCCTGGAGCGAGACCCAGTCASAGGGTGCAGCAGAGAAGTCAGGAGTGTGGCTGGTGGGAGGCAGAACCACTGCCCAAAGCTATGGGGCTTGGAGGCATSTTCATAGACTGGATGATGCCTGTGCCTTGGGAGCAGGAATGGGAATGGAGAAGATTTCTTGCACCCTCCTGCCAGGCAGGTCAGCCCCAGTGTGTGCTGGACACATRCTTTATGAATATGTAAAATAAGCTACAAGCACAGAAGTGAGATGTTTACTGTAAGCTGAGCAGGGTGGTAAATTGCTTTTTGGGGTCACTCAGTGTCTGTTGAGGGTAGAAAAGCCAAGCACTTCTCTCTTGGTAAATACCTTTGTAAGTCACTTTTTAAGTATCGTTTCATCCTGAAACCTTGGCTTGTTTTGTCATCCTCTCCCATGCAGCTTATATTATATCCTGTCTGACTTTGCCAAGGTCACCCAGTAAGGTGACAGCAGAGAATCCAGATTTAGCTCTGATTAAAGCTTCAGCCCAAGTGGTGCAGCCTGCCCCAGTGCTACGGGCTTGTCTCTGCTGGACATCACTTGTCAGCAGGCTCTCTCAGGGGCGAGGCTGTGCCTGGGGCACGGTGGAGGTGGCTGCAAGTCCCCTGCTCTCTGCCTGTCCTTACCAGCACTTTRTAGGTTGGTAAACCTGCCCTGTGCTCAGGAGCCTCAGCAGCAGCTTTGGGACAGGCCATGTCTTAGGGACAYGGTTAAGTGGCAATGCTGGYYTTGGCAGTGCTGGGTTAAAGGTTGGACTMGATGATCTTAAAGGTATTTTCCAGCCCAAATGGTTCTGTGATTTGTGGCTGGAAACCAAAATGCAAACRCCTCAGAGCTTGCTAATCACATTTGAGAAAGACCAGTTGAATTTGTTCCAGAGATCCAGATTAGCAAATCTTCTGGCAGATTGATTCTTGCAGAGGAAGTGAGGGGGGTGTTTTTTGGTTTTGTTTTTAGTCAATGCAAGGGAAATGAAGTGACATTTTAGCTGTGCGATTGCAGAGTGCTTTATGGCAGGGAGCTGTGCCCAATGTTCAGTCACAAGTAAAACCCCTGCTCTGATCCATCTCTGCAACCTCAACAGACCCAACAGAAACCGAGCTCTTAGAGCACCTGAAAACAGATTCCTGAGGCTGTGACAGGACCTGAACAACGCTGGYGAAACCCCTTCAGACCAGCTCTGCTGGTACTGAGAAAGTGGTGCTGTGCCAAGGATAGAGGAAATGCTGGTTTATCCTGCATTTCCCAAGCATCACTCCCACATCCTCCCCCTGCAAAAGGGATCAGGGTCCTGCCTGCACTAATAGGTCTTAATTAGACCAACCATCCTCGTCTCTGTCCTCCTCCCACATCCCCTCCACCCTGTTTGTTCTCCAGCTGCATCTAAATCCAGCTCCTTGGCTGCTTTGGCTTTTGCTTAGTTTCACTGCTGCTTTCAGCTCTCCTGGGCTGGCTTTGGGTCTGCCTGGATGCTTTGTGCTTATCAATCACCAGTAATGTGGGTATAAGACCAGGTGAGGAATTCCCCTTTTGGGACCAGTTTTAATGGCCATYAGCCAGTGCTGGGGATAACACAGCTTAGCCTGGAGATGGGAAATGAGAGCTGAGGAGGCAGCTGGCACCAGAGCATGCACTGACAGCTCCCATTGGCCTGCAGGAATTCAGCAAGATGTGGCTTGTCCCTGCTYTTTATCCCGGTGGTAGATCTCTGGCTGGTGGGTGACTGCAGATGGTTTGTGTGCATGCTGGCCCTTGCCCTCCTGATTGCCACCATGCCCCCTGGTCCCGGGCTGTGGCTGTCCCAGGGCCTGTGCTTTGTGTAGAAGGTGTGGTGCCAAGAAGGGCAGCATTCCCTGAGGCAATGGGGATSAGGAGATAAATCTGAGGAAAATATTGCGTAAACTCACACTGGAGGTGGCTTTGGAAACAGCTCTGGCTCCTGCTGTGTGACACCCTGACCTGCCACATTGCCCTGGCCTGCTCTGGAGTGAGGAGAGAGAGGGACCAATGGTGGCATGGAGTACCTGAACAGATGGAGATCCTTGCTAGGAACCTGGCTGAGGTTATTGAGGATATCTGAAAGCTGCTGGTGCTTTTCTTCCAGCAATTGCCTGCATTTCTGAAGATGAGGACGGTGGTGGTTCCCTGTGAAAGTGAAGCTTTTCAAGAAATTTCGTTACCTTGTCATTAGCTGCAGAAAAACTCCTGCAGTAGGTRAGGATGTGGCAGAGAAAGGGGGCAATGGGATGTGTTGCAGCTGGGGGTACAGTCTAACCCTGCAGCAGGTCATCTCTTTCATAGATTAATATTTTTACCCTGAATGGTGTTTGACTGCCCCTGTTAAGACTAACAAGCTCTTAATTGTCATTTAAATTGGCTTCTATTAATGAGGAATTAGGGACTCAGTGGGAGAAGGACCAAGAGAAGTGTTTTCCTGTGGCTGACTGCTGGGATCTGTGGAGCAGGTGGAGGARGTTGTGGGGGGTTGAAGGTGTTCAGCCAGAAATTTTGGAGCACAGTTTTTAGAAAGCCAGCTGGGTTTCGGGCTCCAGCTATTCAGCTTTGGCTCTTTAGCTGACAGCAGATGCTCTGCCATCCCAGCTRGGCCCTGCTCAGATCTCCTGCCCAAGGAAGATCTCCTGCTCTGAGGAAGGTATAGATGATTCTTAGAGGTCACAACAGGGTAAGAGAGAAGATACAGCAGCTTAGTGCTGATACATAGGCTCTTCYTGCCCAGACCCAGAGGGATCACAAAGTTCAGTTTTGTGATTCTTGGAAAAGGGAAGGCAGGTGCTCTTTATCCTGCTGGGAGGTGCAGGTCTCTGTGTGGTTTGGGGTCATATTGCTGGGGGGGTGTGCAAACAGTAAAACATGGCCTTGAGCCTTTGTTTCATGGGCAAATCCCCTTTGGTTTGGCAAATCTGACCATTTCCTTCTTACTTTTTATATGTTTCTTTGTATTCAAATTTAAGATGAAAATACACTGGGACATTAAGATGAGCATGATCATTTATTAAGTGTTTTCTACCCCTATACTGTCTAATCTGCCTGCTTTTTTTGAGAAATCTTGAGCTCAGTGCAGGATTGTGGCCTGCCTCCTTGCTTGGTTGCCCAAATGGTTTTCCTCATTTTTAGCCACTGTCATTTGAATTCATCGAAGTCACTGATGCATGTT